CGGCATACGATCGTCACACCTTCTCATTTATTACTCAAGCTTTGCAATATCAGAATTTGTAAAATATAATTTTTTTTCAACATTCGTTGACCTCAGAATATATCGATAGTTTTTGTTCTGACTCGCCTACAGCGGTGTGACTAAGGGTTGTGCGTCGAGGCTGAAGGACTGTGGGTCGTGGCTAAAGCATTGCGGGTTTTGGCTAAAGGAATGTAGGTCAAGGCTAAAGGAATGTGGGTTTTGGCTAAAGCTTGATGGGAAAAGGTGTAGTCCGCAGAATTCGTTATTCATCAGAGTGTGCTTGTGCCTGATATAGATTTGAGTAATATCAAGATCAAATATGCTAGGAAACGTTCCACATGCATTTTGTCCGTGGACCGAACGAGAGACTCATTGGCTTAATCGACGGTGTGAGAATATGCGATCCAAAATGACATGTGTGCAGAACCAATCCACTGGCGATGTTTTCGAGTGAAACAAACAGTTTCGATTTGAAACAGTTATTGCCGAATGTCAGAGAAATCGGACCTAACTTCAAGTCAAGTGTATGCCTTGCTCCTCTTCTCCTGAAAGGCTCATTTTCTGTAGCTACTTAAACAGAGTAGAAATAATTAAACAAATTTAATTACACCAATTTTTTTAGGTGAGTAAGCATGGATGAAATATAAGTGGGAAAGAAAGCTGGGGCAGGACGGAACCTTGTGGAAAACTTAGTTTAGAGATTGAGGGAAAACACGTGCATCTAAGGTATTGTATGAACTGTGGATGATTTGTAAAATGGTCTGTGGTTTCATCAAAACAGAAAGAAGACAAATGTCGCGAGATGGGTTAATATTTCGTTTAATCTTCTCAGTTGCTGACTTAAAATAAACAGGCACATATATAGCACATGGGATTAATCAATTTCGGTGAACAAACGTGTTCAAGCATACAAATAATACTAAATTTAGAAGTTGGAGGTCAACTCCACGGTAAGTGGATTGCTTGTATCAACAACTTCTGTGCGCACGGGGTCGGGTGATTTAATCCACTTACCGTAGATTTATTGATCTTTGTATGCTTCTACGCGTTTGTTCACCAAAAGTGATCGATCCCATGTGCTATATATGTGCCTGTTTGTTTTAATTCGGCGACTGAGAAGATTAAACGAAATGTTAACTCATCTCGCGACATTTGTCTTCTTTCTGTTTTGATGAAATGGATAAAGGGAACTCAATGCTTCAAATTTTTTAAAACGAAGTCTATGATTACCGTAGTGCTGGTATGTGATACTTGTAACACTGAAAGACCAAAACTTTTTCAGCCTGAATCTGTCAGCACCATTGCAAGAATGACAATAACATAAGAAACATACTCTCTCAACTATCTTGTTTCTGTTCAGTGCAGATAGAACTAGTGGATCCAGAAAAGCTAGGTTATTCGGTGTGGGATGTGAGTGGCTAGGCGCACATCCATTTCGACACTTGCAATCCAGTTGAGGTCAAATGCCCTACCGGCATACAGTCTCGAAGAGCGTCGTACAAGCAGTGGGACGCAGTTTTGAGATTCACTTGCTTGGCACCGAGTTGATGAAGGCAGGTTATCGAAAATCACATAAAGCTTTGGTTTGAAAGCACTGTTTGAACAGAACTATGATCACTGGCTAAAGCGTGTGAGTTATCCTCCTTAGAGATGATAGCCGCCAGACTGTGAAGAACAGGTGTTGTATCGGGCTTGACAATCAACAACTCCTTCAGAACTCACGCTTATTGAATAGTGAAGTGTTCTGTGACCTTGACGTGCATGTTTGTGATTTCGATGGACGTCCCAGTTTACCGGTTAGTAATGCCTCTTTTAAATATTTGGTCAAGCTCCACAACGTCTATTTTTGTCCGATAATCGAACACTAAAATGTTCCAGGTCTCTCGGCAGGTGTGATGTTGTACAAGAGTGTGGGAGCGTAGATTCCATTCAGGCTATATAAGTCGCCTTTGACGACAAATGATAGGTTGTATCCTGTGAAGACTTTTTAAAATTCTTTTTCCTTTCCTCTTAGTTGCTGCCTTAGATGAGGAGACGGGATGCGATCATATCGAATGTATAGTGTCTCCCATGAACAGCTTACGTCTCAGCAAAAGCTTAGCTATTGCGTTAGGTGACCGCAGAAGGTGGAAGGGTTCGGGTGATAGAAAGCGTTTCAGTCTGTCTAAAAAGTGGTCAAAATCTAGATTCTTTGGGTTTAAATTTACTGTATACTACTGGGAAAACTTTCACAAGTACATAATCAGTAGATCCGAGAGGGCGGCTAGAAGATCCAAAAAATAGGCTGGCATTGTTGATAAAACATTCAAACGAGCATTTTCACTTTGTTAGGAGGCTCACTCTGTTGTTTACACCATTTAGAAGTTAATGTCGAGATGATTGAATCTGACACCTGATATATATATATATATATATATATATATACATAGAGAGAGAGATCACGATAACTTGATAGAGCTACTGAAATGTATATGAAAAATGATGAAATGCCTATGAGGAATAAGGAGGAGAAATATAAATGTTGACTGAAATAATACACTCATAGTTACCAGTGTGTCTCGGTTTGCATTCGTGTAGGGGAGAGCAGATGTAACCCTTGGAGTGAGCCCATACCCGCATTGCACTATTGCACGAGTTCTTGTTGATCTAAGTCATCAAGCGTCCAAAATGCTTCCAATACATTGTTCGGACAGTCAATTCGGCGGTATCCATGGAAGCCATCAACTTTATGATCCCCCTATCCATAAAATCATGTTAACAGATCTCTTATAATAGAGAAATTTACCTCAATGAAAATATTTTTTACGGTGAATACAATCAGATATAATCTTTAACTTCCCAAGCAATGATCGGACATTGTTACTGGTAGTGACGGGTATGCAAATGTGTGACACAGAGCTACTTTCATCCTGTCTCATGCTCCCTCGAATACCCGCGAGATATTCTGTAAATCCTTTGGTGTTTGATTCTGCCTGATTTTAAATAAAACGTCGACTGAGGAGGATCAATTGGAGTATTTGATTTTTTTTTCATGAACGTGGGATGGAATTTTGCTGATGGTGTCAGCGTAATTGTACAATCGCACAACATATCGTTGTAACAAAACAAAACGCAGAAACATTCGTGTGTAGAAACAATAGCAAAGTCAATGACTATGTAAATTTGTCCAAAAAGCTCCAGTTGCGCGGCGGATTTCGATAGCCCCGCCAACAATCGTTGAATGACTGCAAAAAAACTCCAAAGTTTAGAGATTTATCCGTTCAATGAAAAGAGAAATCATTCTTGAATTGAGAGAATGAAAAATATATTTTACAGGAGAAACCCTGAAACCCAAACCAAGCAAAAATCATCAAAATTAATTAGTTCTAAATCCCCAAAATGATGGGCAGCAACAAAATCCAGATTAGACTGCCCAATGAGAGCCAGGATTTTGTGAGAGCTTCATTGGGATTTTCAAATATGCTTTGTTAAGACTAGCTGTGTGTGTGTTTATCACAGAAAAGTACAATTTAGTGCGCGAAATTAATTCCTGACAGGAGGCCGTTTATTTCCAAACACAAAGAAAATCGGTGAAAAAAAGGTTTTGCCAAAAATTATCTGACAAACTGCGATGTGAGAAGTGAAATATGCAATGGAACATTTCGGGGTTCATTCGGTGAATGAAAAACTCGAAAATACATGAATGTTGTAACCTAAAAGTTCTTTCGTCCCAAGTGTGGTAGACAGTATTTCACAGAGAAGGTGAATTTTATTTGCAAAATAGCAGAATTGCGTAAAAGCCAAAAGACCATGGGAAAAAGCTGTTTCCTTTCTTTGATTATGACTCATAAACATAGATTAATAGTGATAGACTTTGAATTAGGAAGGATTTAGCTGGGGGGGCACCAAAACTGAGCTGGGTGATTGTTGAACAGCGGACGATTCAATTACACATAGAATGTATCAGTGACACCGGACACCTTTTGTGGTGATAGAAAAGACTGTATTTGACCTGGTTACACACAAGCTTTCAAGTAGCCAGTTGCTAAATAATGCAATTCGAAATTCATTTCATTTATTTTGCCCTTCACCGTACATCGATTTTGGTTGTGACGAGACGGTAGCAGGATAATTGTTGATATAAGTTCTTAAATCGATTAAGACTAAGTAAAACAAAAACATTCTAAATATTGAGACGCAATTTTTAGTTGATCTTAGAACCTCTAGACATCGAACAAATGAAAGAAATGTCTTTTTTGCACAGATTGACAGCAACTTGAAATTGACTATCGATGAAGTTGTGAACAAAATGCAGCAAATTCACAGTATGCGAAATCATGATCAAATGCTGGTTGAGACAGAAATCTCACTCGTGTCTGCTCATTGCACGTTTACATCGGTTCCATATTTTAGTCAAATGTGATTTGAAAAGCTCTCCTCAAGCAAAAAGCTCACTTGAATTAGAAACAGCACTGTAGAGAAAGTTTTTTTAGAAAGTTTTAGCGACAATACAATGTGACGAAAACTTAATTTTACTCGGAAAAAAGCAAGACTAGGGGTTGAGGATGTGCACCGGTTTGATATTTCACCAACTTTACATAAGGTGTTCAAACGAGGAAGAAAATAAAACGATGTATCAGGTCGAACCTAATTTCCTCGAATCGGCAAACCACTAATACAGATCTAGGGGGCAGGGTGATCGAAAGCAATTGATTGTGTGCGCAAGGAATAAGGTAAGAGGTGCAATTTTTTGCTGGTGAGTTAGTGCTGTAACAAAATCGGCAAAATTGTGATCGATAAGTGGTTTACAGTGGAAATAAATTACCTTGAACCGGCAAACACCACACGCTCTACTTGTCCGGTTTTCGGCCACGGAAGTTGGTCAACGACTGATTGCAGAATTTTTGAACCATGAAAGTAGAACTCTGGAACGGTGAGTGTAGAAGTGCTGATAGAAAGAATTCATATAATGTGTGAAAAATAACGTCAACAGTCGGCTAAACACAACCGAATTTGGATATTGGTATCGAATCTAGTGCAATGAACAGGCAGGTACAAGTGACGCCACAAAGTGATCACTCAATGTTATCACTAGGTCTAAGGCCGAGTCACTTGCGAGCTGCCAAATTGGGTCTGAATCTCGGCTTGTATCATCGTCAAGCACTTTTGCTTCTAAGCAGCTCGAATGGTACCACAAACCGTGACACACTATCATTCTGGATCTATTATTCGGGTTAAGAAGCCTGTGCGCACACATGAACAGCCATACTCCGTGTCTACTAGGTTCTCTCTCTTTTGCTGCTCAGCAAACAATGGTGAGCGACAGAAAATGTAGGAATCTGTCCAATTCGATTGGTATTTTTGCGATGGTAAAAATGGTAGTTTTTTGCGGTCCGGGGCAATCCCTTACGCAAAACCCCTAATGGTTCATTCTGGGATTAGCGATCAGGCCAACTCTTCGTAGTTTGGGCACTGAACACAAAATTACAACGTACAAATGCGAATACATAAACACTCCAAACCCTCGCCTGCCCTTATCCTGATAAATGTCTCAGTTGATATTTCAATCAGAGTCAGTCAGTCGCTGAGTCAGCTGCAGTCAGTCAGGCAGTCATTCATTCATTCATTCATAAGTCACAGAGTCAGTCAGTCAGTCAGTCAGTCAGTCAGTCAGTCAGTCAGTCAGTCAGTCGGTCAGTCAGTCAGTCAGTCGGTCAGTCAGTCAGTCAGTCAGTCAATCAGTCAGTCGATCAGTCAGTCAGTCAGTGGCACGTGAACGAAAAACACTCACCACCACTTTGGTTCGGGTTCTTCCCGGTCCACAAATCGCTTGAACAATACGGGATGAATCTGTTAACACGGAGCAAGTAGATTGGAAAAGGAAATTATATGGACAGTTATTTTCAATTTGTACAAGTAGCGCGGAGCTTTGTGAAACTTGTGCGATACAAAGTGGTGTTGGTCAACTTACACATTGTGATAGTCATGATAAATTGGATTGACGTTCTCGTATGCGGACAAAATTCCGTCGACTGTGATAGGCAGACAATCAGCGGGAAGAGAATGACAAAGAAAGAGAGTGTGTGTGTGTGAGGTGGTGAATGCACGAGGGAATGTTTAGCATTGGATGCAATCAATCAAATGTATTCAATTCAAACGTGTTCCAAGCACAGATCTGAACGATGATTGAGTTGTAGCGCTTTGAGTGATAAAAAGAAAGGGGGCGA